TTTGAAACAGTGAATAACTGGCTTGATGTGCTTCTATGTTTGTGTGTGCCGTTGGTGGAGCATGTATGGCCTTGGCCGGTAAACACACATTGACCAGGTTTATTTCGGTGTTTACGACAATTAACTCTTCGAGGAGCAACGTATGTGTTCGAGTTGCAGGTCGGCCAGCCGGTAAATTCAGTGGCTTGCTGTAAGCTGCAATGCATGCTGCAACAGCGGTGTATGTACCTCTTTGAATCCCAAACCATGCAATTTTTGGCATTGAGGGTTAGGAATGTTGGACGCTGAAACCATAGTGTCCATAGTTCGTTGATTCTATCTGGTGACCTCCTGTGTATCAGTTGTTGACTTCCGGCATTCCGTCAAGCATGCTCCGAAATCCGTGTACTTGACGGTGATCATGTTATATAAATATAAAACATTTAGGATATTACATTACTTACGGTACGGCTCACATCAAAAAGCAACGCAAGTCTTTCTACTACACTTATTAGAACAAAAACTGAAGCTAGATTGAGTTCAAAATACCATATTCTATTCTCCTATAAAAATTGCTGTTTTTGTGGGCGAACAATATAAATCGTAGTGCGAATTTTGGCAGCGCCAAAGAAAAGGATCTCAGTTGTTACACAGAAAGAAGTACAACAGGAGTTTATTCCAGCATAATTTAGTCTAAGCAAGAACTCCTCACATAATCCGACTGTGAACTTTAACTAGAAGTAAATCATAATAATAAGGTTATTACGAACAGTAGTGTGTAGATTTCTCATGAACCAAAATACTGTTTTGGTTTGGCAGACGAGTACGTACGAAACTATACATGCCTTGATATAAGCGATTTTCAAATGTGCAATATTTATGCATATTTTTCTGCACAAGCGAGTTAGTGATTTGTCTAGGCAAAATACAAGGTTAGAAAACGTGCGACATATATGCCCTAACTGATTATGCCATACTTGATTCTGGGAGACCAACATCTTGTGTGCGGGCATTTACTGCAATTCAGCTCCAGTACAATCCTGAAGGGCAAATCATTGAAAGTCACCGTACAGTATAGCGGCCTGAAGTGGTGCAGAAATATTTTTTTATTATTGTCTGTCATTCGTTGTATGCCCTCCCAGAATCGGTTACCTCTGCACCGACACTAATAGTATTTAAATCACAATTGGTTGATGCACTCATCCACATACAATATGTCACTTAGAACTACGTCTCCATCCGACACCTGAACTTTACCCTGGAATAATTTGATGTTATCTGTGGGAGCTGTGAATCTAAGGGGATTACAAGATTACGGAGGAGCAAAAGCTAAGTCCTTATTATCATATTTGAAGTATTAACTGTATTACTATCATTATTAGCATTCTTGTTTTTCGATCTTCCTACCAACTATCCAAAGGGACTTGTCAAGAAAAGCTTCTTAACCCGTATACATTCATTGTCCATCGTTCATTGTTGCTCAAATGATAATATAATCTTACCGTATGCAGTTTCAGGCACGTTGCAATTTTGTTACAAAACATTGCTACGTTGTCAGTTGATCTGAATATAATTGGCAGCTTATTCCACATATAGATACATCCGGCCAGAAATAAATCGAAGCCCATGCTATACTCAAGTGCATAACTTTATTTGCGGAATTATCAGGTGCAACTATTTTGCAACTTCAATGTAGGCAGATCGGAACAGGTCGTTTTGCGTAGCAGGTTGTATAGCAACAAATAATTATGTTACAAATGTCGCATTCAAAGTGATTTGAGTTGAATATTGTTGCAACGCTGCGGATAATTTTATGCTGATTGCTTCCCAACCAGTCGGCTTTGCATGCCTCAACCTACAATCAGTTGTTTAGGATATGACTGAGTTGGCAATGCTACCGTTATTGAGGTAGATACCGTAAATTTCAAATCGCATTGATATGCATGAATTTAATTGGAGCATGAAATTTTGCGTTTGGTTTTTCTGCACATTTGGTTGCTCCAAGTGTAAAATCCTGCATTGTTCAGTAACAGACCGAGCAGACATACACACACTCAACCGGACAGAAAAGTCTGCTTAGACCGCTACTCAACGTTTTCGATTAGGTGGCGCGCCTTCTGTGCATCGGTGCTATACTCATTAGGTTCCCCTGGTAGAAAGGAAACATATGTCAATTCATCGACCCATAAACGTCTGACTGACAGTTCTTCTGGTTTACACACTGAACGGCACATGTCTTCTGGTTAATTAGGAGTAAACTGCATGTATCCTGATAGTATTCTTGTAGCAGGCGTTTTAAGTAAAGAGCGCTGAGTAGACTGAAACATTTCAACAGATTCCGCATCCCAAAACTTTGGTAACGCACAAAATTGCCCTTCCACTTAAATGTCAATTGATCGTAAGCTATAGTTGATAACATTTGACAAACTGCCAAAGGTATACCCTATCCAGAATTTGACGGATGCTTTTATGTAATGTGTGTTAAGTTTTCAGGCAACTTGTTAAAAATTTCCATATAAAAGGCAAAGAATGAATCTAGGGAGGCAGAATCTGAGTAAAGAATTCTTTTCCGTAATTTGCATCAGACTCAAACAATACATGATGACGAAGAAATGCTAAAAATGGCGGTATTACTGTGTCAACAGCTAATCTGACAGAGCAAGGAAATTGGCACCAGTTTGTAAAGTAAATTAACCAAACCCCTTTGGGTGCAAAGCATATGAGGTTTACTTTGACCAGTAGAGAAAATACTGAAAAGGCGTACAAATACTTGCTTTTAATTTGCAAGTATTTTCATTCTCTTAAAATTTGCGTTACGAATATAGCGATAATAATAATAGCGTAGACATTGTTGATCCTTTCGAAGAGCTTGGAAAAGTTACATGTTCAGTCTATTTAATTCCGAATTCTTGGAGTATTTTGACGTCTGGTGCAATTTGTTATATGATTATGTTTTAGTAGTGCAAAACAGGTCACCACTGTGCGTTCGTTTGAAAGCATTTCTAGTTTGCTTGAGTCTGAGAACAAATAAATGGGTTTCTTGTTTTTGAGGTATAATCGTTTCATGTTTAATCGATGCTTCATATAAAGTGGTCTTGTCGTAAAGTTTAGCAACCGTCTGGTGTGTTGTCTGTGCGTGCAGTTAATTAAACACAATCTACGTTGGCAGCCCATGTCATCGTTTGTGAAACGGTAGTCTGAGGTCATTTAGGGTGATGTTAACTTCTGTGTGTCAAAAAGACAAAATAAGCCAATGTTCAATGAAATTTGCTTATGATTACCCCCGACAGCTTCCTACGTACGGTGTTGACTAAAGAACACGGTGCGCACCAGTTGTGTCATGCGAAGCAAAGCATCATCCTTCGCATGCAGCTTGGTTGCTTAGGTCTCGGCTTTTCAAGAAAATTTTGCAGTTTATCCCCCCAAACAAAGAGGTTAGGATTAACCGCAATAGCTTTGTGGAATCAGCTCCGCTACAATCGGTGAAATACGTTATATCCCTGTTGGTTGTCAAAGAGCTGCAAGTTAAGTTTATACTATACCCTAAAACCAAACTTGTTAATGGTGAAAAAGTTATCAAATGAAGCAAAGCTGGTTCGTACCTAAAACAGTTAGACCAAAAGTGACATTGTGGCAAATGGGCAACATATTACTTCTTTAAGTAAGATATGCATTCATAAATAGGTAGCAATGAATATACACTAATAATCGTTAATCTTTCTTGCTATCTACACTGAAGACCTAATTAATACACCACACCAATGCCGCAAACTTTGAGAAGCATTTAGCTCATTTCGATCCCGCTGGACAATCCATATTGAAGGAAAATCACTTTGTGAAAGTAGTATACTACGAAGTTCGTTCAAAATAATTAAATTCATTTAAAACTATTGTGGCGGAATCCAATGTAGCCTCAGTTACCGGCTGGATTTTTCATAAAGCACAAACTACTTGCATCTTGCAAAAATTTGCCTTGAGGTAGGCAATGTGCTTTACATAAGATGGTGTCCCCAAGCAGATATTTATAGATTTACTTTAGCTAGGATTTGGAAACCACTACTACCCCGCACAATAAGTGGATGAAGAATAAATGTTGTTGTTGCGCAACATTGCAACCGTACGTATAAAATGACTAATTACATGCAACATGCTAAGTTTGAAAAGGCACCAAGATTTTATGAAGCTTGTAAAATAGAGGATTGAGTAGAAGATCGACTATCCAGAGGTTTGTTAACAGGTTTCAAGCATTCAAAAAACAGCATAAGAATTAACCATACTGCTGGCATTCGTTTTTACTATTAGGTAATATATTTTACTTACTGGTCATGCGAAAAAAAGAGGGGAATATTGTTTTAGTAATAAAAGTTTGGACTGGTTTGATTCAATCAAACAGAAGCCATAATTGTATTCGATTTAACTGTTACAGTGGGATACCAAACTCCCTGACAAATATGAAGAAGTTAGGAACAATTTATCTTGTTTTCTAAAAATGCTCTTTACATCCAGTGGATTCAATTAGTTAGAAAATAAAGTCCGATTACAGTAAGGTGTGTGTAAACACCGAGGCGCTTGAGTTAGGAAAGCGTAGATCAAGATATTTGTACTTCAAAATAACAACACGCTGAGGCAAACGTTTGAATTCAAAACTAGCAAAATTGTCAAATGCTTTAGTAAGCCATCTGCAAGACGCAGTCATACATCCCCCGGATTCTAGAACACACGGAGACATTTGGTAAAACAGACAGAAGTTGTGCGTAGTAAGACTGGATAAAAACGTAAAACAAATGATATTGGGAATCAACTGTCCGCATAATGATGTGTTGACGCAGAAACAACCGACGATCACATTATCACATTTGAGATTGTGCTTTTTGAGTACTATTTGTTCAGTTTCCTCTACGTGGTTGCTATCACGCAGTTAGTGAATCCGAGTTAAGTAAGGCGACGCAATCCGTCCGATGAAGTTGATTAAATATATGGCGCGTATGGTTTGTTCCATCTTCTGTCGAATTAATAGCCTCTCACAAATCTAATAGGTCAAATGTTGGTGTGGTCCTTGATACCATCTGTGGAACCATGCTGAAAATAGGAAGAAATATGATGTTTAAAGATAGGCTGCAATAATTCAAAAAAATAAAAGAATGTTTAGTCTCAATTAGATTGCAGGTTTATTTAACTTAAGAGCTGGCAATTAAACCTAGGTGTCAACATACATAAAATTATATTCTAGAACAATGTTGTAAGATTCAGCAACCCCGAAGACGGCATAAATACATTTTTGTCATTAGGAGAGCACACAATTAGTACAAGAATGCATTAAATATATATATGGTGCTATCTTGTTACAAAAGGAAAATCAGATTACACTTTTTGACATGATAGCCAGTAGATATTTTAGAATGAAAAATTGGTTGGTATAGTTGATATAGATCATTGTCTTTGTGGTCAAACACATGACCCCACACTAAAACAAAAACCTCAAATTTTGCTGATGGATAACGCTACGAAACTGCAGATTATGAATATGGGTGTGAGTCGTTATTTCTTGAAGTCACTTGGTGACGAAACCATTAAGTCTACTAACTATTTTCAAAGCAGCGATGGTAGATAACCATGCATCTTTACACAAATCCAATCCATGGTCATGTGTAAGCTACTGGAAACGCTGAAAGACGTCAAGGTTTGTCGCATTCTCTTGCGTGGGAATCAGTTAAATTAGCTTTTTTGTAAATATTAAACTCCATGTTAAAATTTAGATGAAGCCTGCAAGTTGGTCTGTTCCAATGAATCTGGATGGTTATCAAAGTCATGTCTCTGACCGCTTTACTCCTAGAACTTTTCTATATAATGCAGCTAACCCACTGCTTTTGTCCGCCATGCGCTTTACTACCTGCGAAAGTAAACCAAGTTGTATGCGGTAGACATGTCAGATTTGCAAATGAGAGTGACGATTTTTGTGCAGTTTAACTATGCAAAGTGCAATTGACGGCTTGGCTCTCTAAGCTATTTGAAACACCAGATGTAGACTCAATTTCCCTTCGCATCAAGTAATTGGTTTAGCAGAGGTAGAAATTGTAGTTTTTTGAAAATTCATCTGATCAAATTCAATACAACATATAGAAAATGCTATTGTCAAAACTGTCGACAAGTACATTCAGTTAATGCTAATCACCGTTTAGGTGTACAAAAATTCACTGCCGTAATGGTGACTTTTAGAATTGGATTTTTTAATTTGGAGTGTTCGCATTTTAAACGCGCGCTTGGCAACTTGTATTTATCCCAAGCTAATGGGCTCACATGGAAAATAGTTGTTGGAAGTATCGGAAGATGTATCCACCTACCCTTCAAATCCCAATTCTCCGGCTAAAAGCTGCCATTCACCAGAATGGTCGAGTATACTACTGAGTTTGCTTTTTGTTTCTGAGGATAAGCTGCAATAAGTAAAAAAAGAACCTCTGTGTAAATATGATAGCTGTAGGCGTTGACTTGGTTTTGGGTCATGGATTCAGCCACGTAACATAAGCGCTGAGATGCAGAAAGTGTTGAGATTATTCCAAGTTGTGAAAATGCATTACAAGTGTAGCAAAACACATCGGTCAATTGATTTACAATTTATGTACGTGGTAAGATGAAAAGGGTTTAGGTCAAGGAACAATAGTTTGGTCATTTGGGTTTATCAACATTTAACAAATAATTTAAATCAGTGTCAGATCTAACTACAACAAACTTTAGCGAGTGAATTAAAAAAAGAACAAGCTTTTGCGTTCGTATTTTTAATTAGAATTGATATGTGCTAACAAAAGTTTATAGGGGAGGATAATAATTCGCCTTTTTTGAGCGAATCTGTAGTATCAAATTCGTACGTCACTTGTTGAATACCTGTCTTTCTCTTGCCTGTGGGTATTCTGTAATAGACAGAATAATACCAAGCTGCTGGATTAAATGGCGTGTCCTTGGTACATCATGTGATAAACAGGATTAACCACATTATTTCGATAATCACGGGTTTTAGCTTTTCAATTAATGACCAACGGTTGGTTAAAAGTATGCAGCAAGCGTATGGCACGACTGAACAGGGAATCTTAACATAAAATTTTCGATGGAAATGTTTTGTTCCTGTTGGAATAAATTAGCATAAATCGCGAAAAAAATGTTAATCGAAATATGATGAAGTGGAAACCACAATCAACGTGCAAATATTGGGCAAGTGGAACAGAAAAATGTATTTTAGCCATATAAGATTGTTTGTGGATCAAAACAAGCGGATTACATGCAGTGGTGTATATTTACCACTGTAGGAGAGACTGGTGAACATATTACCTACTCTCAATACATATTTATATATAGACGTTTGGTGTTAAGTCAGACAAGCACTTTAGTATGTTTCTGATGCATTCAATATCAAACTATTAACGCAAGTGGTTATTATTGAGCTGACATTTGGCAAATATTTGGTAGGAGTAGATGTTCGTCCAAACAAATTACTGATATTCATTGTACAATTTTTCATAAAATCGCGCACTCATCAAGCTTACGAAGTCCGAAGTTCAGTCCATTAGAAACGGCTCTTTTTCGCGGGAACGCAATAAAACATCCATTCTAACACTGCAGAGGATAAATGGTTAGCTCACAGACTGCGCAGTCTGTGAAGTCTCTTTCACTAACGGTGTTTTCTCTAGAGTCTGTGAAATTGCTCGGTGCTAGCTATCGCATTGATCCTTTGTTTCATTCCCGTGGAGCGTCGTATCATAACACTTTGCTGCTGAATTCCTGGGGGAGGATGGTGCCCCTGTTTGGCTTCTCACCAAACGAAAGTTGTAAGAACTGAGCAATCAGTCACCAGCTCCTAATGGATGCCAATCCCTAAATGCGCTCTGCTGCGCTGCGGATGGTTACTCGAAGAGAACTCCCTAATGCGGTACGGGCAACTGGGTAGTAGCGTGCCATATGTAAAAATCACGGATTTCACAACTACTACTATATCGCTTATTTCTGCTGTTACTGGCCCTGCTACGCAGGCTTCTGCATCACATGCCAATTGGCCTCTTGTTGATAATCCTTAACCAGTAGAATTTACTTCCAATGCCCGTCTCGCTGATAACCAAATCGTCCGGTCGTCATCTATATTTCGACCCCGTTCTTCATTCCGTCTGGTAGTGTTCAGGGTTCGAACCCTCCTACAGATTGGACAAGGGGCTAACCAGGCACACACTCTAGAGTTCCTTGCCACCGATGTTTGTTGCCACTCAGAGACCCGATTGCAGGATCTCAGCACCGTGGTTAAGTTGTCGTCCCCAGCTGCTCTAGTTATTACATATTACCTCAGTCTGTCTAGTGACATGGAGGCAGCAGCAACCGACTTAGTTAATGTCTGTGTCGCATTGAGTGACAAAGCGAGGGCTGTCTTATTACTCGAAAGGTTCCCAAATGACAGCCGGCTGTGTAATTACGCCTTCATTGATCCTGTTGTATCAACAGTTACTTGAAATGAGGTGCAAATTTTTTATTGTTTTCGCCTCCGCTTTAAACGACTGTAGCTGTGCATCGGATGGGGATGATGTTTGCAGTGGCCTCCACAACCCTTGGAAAAGGTCGCTAAGCAAGATATCATCGTCCTTGCCGGAGGACTCAATGAGTAGACCTAGTTGCGTACCTTGGCACATCTACTTGAAACTACCCACTGAAGCTGATGTTTGTCTTAAGCTCCGACACTTAAAGAGATGCAAGCCTGCTGGCCGAGACCGGCTTCCGCCGGATCTGTTCAATGGCGAAGCAGTTGTTAACCAGCTAAAAGCTCGGTTCTCTAACATCTGGTGTGAAGAGCCAGTTTTATCCGCTTGGGGCGAGTCACGCATCGTCCCGAGCCTCAAGAAAGTTGCCTTTCCCCTATGCTCTAACCACGGGGTAAACAGTCTAGGTTCGTTGCCTTCAAGCAGTTAACATCAATACTACTCCACCAACGAACCTCAATACGAGATTTGAGTTGCCGTAAAGAACAGACTGGATTTCGCCCCAGTCAAGGGCGTAAACACCACCTGCCTACGCTTCGCCAACACCTTGAACAGCGTCAGGCTTACCGCCAGCCAACTATCTTTGTTTTTCTGGACATCCGATCCGCTTTCAACTCCGTCGATCGGCCAGCTTTATAGCGTCGCTTCCAAAGAATGTAGTACCCGAAAAGCATGTCGTCATCCTTCGAAATTTATATTGAAATATCTCCGGTAAAGTAAGGGCTTACGATACGCTCACTTTACCTTTTGTCTTGATTGTAACTGACGGAGTACGACGGGTTTGCCGAGTGTCCCAGTTTCTCGGCAATTGTAAGATAGAGTATGTCTTTTTAAACACTCCTGGGGCTTTCAGTGTCCTATTGTAGTGATTCATCATGTCAACCATGTCACCGATTAGATTATGCTGATGACAATGCCTTGCTTGTTGATGACGCACAGACCACACAGGCTGTTCTAAACAGCTTGGCGATTGATGCATCGAAATATGGAGTGACCTGGGTCCCTACAAAATGCAAAGTCCCGGTCGTGGATTTGCATTCATCTGAACCAGCGCACGCTCTTCAAGGTACGCAGCTGGAATAAGTGTGCAACTTTGTTTACCTAGGAAGCTGTGTTTCTGCCACAACAGCGTCGGCAATGAGATTTCCTTCTGCATTTCCAAAGCTCGTTGAGCATTCGCCAACTTGAGGCATCTGTGGCGAAGCCTTGATTTTCATTAATGGTAAAGGACAGCGTCAATAATGCCTTTGTTCGCGCGATGCTGCTGTATGGGAGTGAGTCTCGGCCATTTCATGTGAATGATGCGTCGGATTTCGGACTTTGACAATGGATGTCTGCAGAGAATAGCTCGAGTGTGGTGGCTGAACCACGTGCGCAATGGTTATAATCGACGTCGCGTCTTGTTTAATACGGGACTTCCACATGACATAATGGAGCCGCTACGCCAACCGAAATGGCTGGGCGAACGGCGAACGGCTACTCCGACGCGCACGCTGCTGCTACAGAGCCAGGTTTAAAGAAACCTGGCGGTTATCAGTCTATCGCATGGTGACAAACGACCAAATCGTTGACAGTTTAGCTGACTTAGGTCCCATGCGTCCTTCTGGCTGGGGATCTCGGATGAGCAACACCGCCGGCTGGATACTCTTTCGTGGATGGCGCAGAATCGGGCCCAATGGAAAATGTGTACAAGTGATTGCCTTGATTTTGTTGATTTACATCACATATATTAAACAGACAAAAATATAAAACAGCGTGTAATAAAAAACAAAAATGACAAATAGGATACGAAAACGAAAGCATTTATAGCTTTCATCCTTTGCTCCTTTTTATTGTCTCAGTATTTCTTACTTCCATTTTATGGATTTTTCTGGCTCTGTGTCTATCTTGTAGACTGTTTATTACATATGTATATTATAATAGACCGATTTGATCAAGATATTTAGTTGTCAACAGTTGGGTTCCTCACGATAAATTCGTAGCCGATGGTGATACCTAGGGCGCGAATTACTTTGCACAACAACTTGAATGTAAACATTTTAAATCACATCAGCAATGAAATTTAGGAGTATACTTTCTTATAGTATATGAAGATGTTCTCAGTCACTGAAATGCTGCCATTTTCTGTGGAGAAATTCGTTTAACCCTAATGCGGTGGATGAACTTCATATGCGATGACATCCATCAACTTAATCTGATTTCTTCCGACATAGCTATTACATACCGGCGTTCGAACATTCTGCTGGCATTTTATTGTAGCTATCATGAGGAATTCAACTTTTTGATTCGAGAAGAATAACAAGGGCTTCTGACATTTACACTCCTCTTTCACACCCTTCTATAGCAATATAGATATTTACGTTGGCAACAACTGTTATAAAAATTATTTAAACAATGTTGCTTGTTTTAGACCAGTATATCCTACACATTCATGTGTTTCCGGCTATGCTGAACCAGAAACACTACAGTCTATTAAATCACAGACTGGGAAGTTAATTTCAGCTCGCAAACATAAAAAACTACTTTAAAAGTCACAACTGGTGATTTTATTGCGTCAAACCTAAATACCCATCAGAGTATCACCAGCCTAAATCTAGCGGCCGGCCAGTGAGTTCATCGCTCATCATCGGCACCCACCTTCCCTTCATCCAACGACAGAAACAGTACAATGTATGGTGACTGACAGCTGCAATGTATGTGAGTCAATTCTTCTGTTAACAATGGTCCGTAATCCGACGTGAACACCCTCCCTTATGTGTACATTAGCAAGTAAGCATACTTGTCCCAAAATAAATTGAGTATGTTTGCAAACAAAATTATTTCCGGTGTAGAGTTCATTAAGATAAGTCATCTGACCAACACGGTGTGTTACTTCTAATACCGAGAACATTTACCTCAACCCCCTTGGGCTGGCTAGAGAATAGGAATGGTATTTTCAGCTTCCCTTAAATGAGACTGGATAAAGACAAATGTAAACCGAACTGCCTTCTGAAAGATTCAATCGCAAATCTGCATGAGCTTAACTGGTACACGACATAAACAATCCTGTGCTTTGTACTGTCAAGGAAGCGCGCTTATTTTGGTATTACCGTAGTGATTTCGTGACGCTTATTTTGCAGCCTAAAAATATTGCCGACGTGTATACACGAAGTGAGTGGAAATTAATGCACAGCTGTGTTGTTGGTTCTATAATAAAAATAATTTGAATACTTTGCGCCGTAAATGCGGGACTCTCAAATTAAATCTCACTAAATTATTACGATAATAAGAGTTCACAAATGGACCTAAGTGGCTTTGCGAATACGTGATTACAGTCGCCTTAATCATTCTTAGAGCTAAAAACTAGAGCTTGGCTATCTGGCATATTAAGATAAATATACCTATTATTATTCGGATCTGCCTTAGAATGAAATACAATTCAAGCTAGAGGACGCAAAAGAAAAAAACATTTTGGAAGCTCGTATCATTTCTCTGTTAGATTCGTAGAAAGTAGATGGAACGATTAAACTGCACGCAATAATTTGCCTCGACGGGGGATCGAACCCCGTTTCCTCGAATTTCCGGTCCGCTGCTCTACCACTGAGCTACCGAGGGCTCAGTGATAGCTCAGTGGTAGAGCAGCGGACCGAAAATTTGTGGGACCTGGGTTCGATTATCCGTCGAGGAGATTATTGTGTGCCGTTTATTCGTGACCTACTTTCTATGATCTTTACGCTACTCACAAACATCCTCTCTGTAAGATGCTTGTTTATCCGGAGATGGGCTTGTATCATTCTAGAAAAGACACAGCTGTAGGACTTTGCAGGCCAAAGTGTCGTTTTACCTTGCTGGCACACAAGCTCCATAGACTACACTAATCATGGACAACTAGTGAACCACAATGCAAACGACTTGACAATAAGCATGCTCACCAGTTGAAGCGGATTCATGTATTTTATTACCTATTTGTTGCAAAACAGGTGTGCCTACAAATATTTAATAAGCAGCTGTGCACTTAAATAAACTTCTGGTTGATGATTGATCAATTTTCAATTTTTTTAACTTATTCATCCCAGTAGTTCACAAGCTACATAACACAGCCTAGTCCGGATAAGCATCAGATGCTTTACGGCCTATCGGGTCCCGTCAGTGGTGAGCATTCCCTCCGTCCCCCACTGGAGATCGAAGCCATGACGGCTAGAGACAGATGCCAACCAGCTAGCAGCTGAAGACACTAAGCCATGAGGTAGATTGGCTGAGTTACATAATTTGCCATCTAACTGGGTATAGCACCATCTATCTTCCATTGTCATTGGCAGTGGCTTGTCTACGAGTTGAAGGCGTCCTATCGCTTGACGCTATATTCATAGCATTTGAAACTAGTGATGTGTGATTAGTTACAAGCGTCAGACTGAGCTTAGATAAATAGTTTGCCATACAAGAATTTTGTGGATGATGTGAAATATTGTATCGTGGTATTAATTAAACAACAGAGGCAGAGGCAGAGGCGTAATGCATTTAGTCATAAAACTGCTGTAGTATATCCGGTAACTCTCTAGCGATTAGATCAGAGATAAGTTTAATCGCAGTTTCTGGGAATACACTTCATAACGTGGTTGGCTTCCACGAACCATATCACAAATAAGCGTTATAGATTACCTGTGAAAAAGTTGTCCAACACCAAACAAAATTTTATCGCAATCATCCGTTTCCTCCGGTATATTTTGCAAAGTACTGACTTGTAATGACAACAGTTAGTTTCCAAATAAGCCACTGACCATTGTTGGTTTGAAATGTGGGAAACTACTTGTTTAACATTGCTGGTAACCGACTCAGCCTTGTTCTGTTATGCGGTCCAAATAATTGCCACTTACAGTGACTAATTACCAAACACAGGTGGCGTTTGATGAAAAGCTCAAATCGCTTCCTCTCCGCTATACTCGCCTCAGACGGAAACAGATCATGTATCGAGTACTTACCGACGGAGTTTAGCGTCTTTTTCGACATTATGTGTAGGATGTGCATTTTCAAACGGCAAATATATTTCGGGTGGCTGCAACAGTAAAACACGCAATGCTTAATCATGAATTCGAGGAGAAAATATTTATTTATGTATAACTGAGTGAGCCTAAAAAGGTTATTTATTTGAAATAATCATGTGTGCGATTCAAATGTGGCAGGTATTTTATGGTATGGATCGCATTTGTAAGTATAATCGGCGTTGTGCTTTTTAGGGAGTATGGAGGTGGGGGAAACAAAGACGACGTCCGTAAAAACAAATTATCCGAGAAGGATAGTTCTAACCAACATTCAAATGAGCGCACAAAGCCGCGCAAAGTCAACGAGTGATGTAAGGACTTAGTCTCACGTAGTTTTTAGGCAAACACTGCTAGCCCTATTAATGCAACTTCAAAATCTCTGGGCCATATTATCCAGAAAGAATAGGGTCAAAGTTACGGTTTCAAATTTACAATCATATGTGCACGCCAGGTACGTATTACTTTTGAAATACTGGATTTAAATAAACCCACCTCTTTTGATTTGATCTCTTGTCACTCGGCGCTAAACCTATCTTGTATAAAGTTCACAAATTACTTGGTGATGGAGGATAAGACGGGCTACATAGCAAATCTCCTGTAACTTATGATGGCCTGTAGCTGTCCACCGCGGCGTAGCGGCATAACTTGCTGGCTGGCTGCAGAAGCTGCTAATTATCGTGAGATCAAGTACTATTGTATCGGATGGGTGCGCACTGCTGACGAGAATCAACAGATCGAAACGTTGGTCTAGTTTATTCCGTCATGTGGTGAACTACCTGAATTGCTAGCTGCAGTAGATCCCCAACTATTTATCATACATTTGGGTTATTTTTCTTAATCTGAGATCGTTATTATTCCTTTTCTCACTCTACGTATTCAGTACTTACGGGGATCAGAAAACATGGTCGTTTGATCACTTAAAAATGCAACCGTCTCGACTGATTATAACGTGTCACCCCATCGCTATTTAGGCAGTCTAGCTGAACGTGTTAATTGATTTTCGACTCAAGCTAAATAGCTGCCTAGCTTAAGATTGCGCGTCGTGAATGGTCCACGAAGCGTTTTCTTCAAACATTTCAGTAACTATTCATTAAACATTGTAGAAAAGGCTATCAGTGAATTGGCCAAATGTGCATACATGTCTCAGTCAGGTATACAACCGTCACGAATCCAAATCGCAATTCATTACATTCCACTAAACGAGCGTAACGCAGTGTGGAACGCAGCTAACACATAAACTTCATTTGACTGAAGCATATTTATACTGGTGTGTTGAATATGAGAAAGGCGTCGATCTGTAAGATGGAATAGCGTAAAACATTATTCGTAATATATGTGCCGTTGTTATGACATAAATGTGCCAGCTTGAGACACAGGTTTCGGTATTGATCTGCTCATAAATTTTGAATAGGTTTAGAGCCTTCTCATTCACGAATCTGTTGGGACTACCTATATGCAGGATAACAGCATATTTGGCTACTGAACCCTTGTCTGCCTTGATAGTTTGTATTTATCGTTAATCGCGCCGTATACACAACTGGTCTAGAGGAAGACAAATGATCTAACAAAAGTGAATTGCTTCCAGAAACCAACTGAGAGTTCGTCGCGCCATTTTCCGAATCAGATAACCTTTTCCATGCCGGAGAAACACTACAGTTTCACGGCAGCTCAAGCCTGTTGGGCATCATCAGTAGTGCGCATCCTTTGCGTCCGTCAAAATTCGAACCCATGACCACCAGAGGCTTGTACTGCCAGTCAGCAGCGTACGATACTGGACCACGGAGGCCAGCTTCGGACCGTCATGATTTACAATCTAACTGCGATATAGCGCGTCAAATCCTCTCCAGCCCTGCAAATTACTAACTTTGCAGAGGACAGGGTTGGCTCCGAAAAACACGATGTCCACTAAGAGTGGCTATGCACGACATAGCATTTAGAATCCGTTAGGGCGTTTTTATTCTATTACATTCAATTGTGTGTATACTTACCTTCGTTGCATCATATGAGATATGTAGTGTTTCACACTGGTTCCAGTTGGTCACTTGAAAGAAAGTAATTTTACAGGATATACTCGTTTGCATCACGTCCGCATGTTTAAATGTGAATGCACAATGCAGGGTGGACACTTGTGTCCCGCTCCAGATATGCCGAAATGGAATCTCCTGCACAGAACGAAAAACAAATCTACCGTGGGATAATTGCAAATGTTTTTCCCTATAAACTAAAACGATTGAACACCTGATGCCCGTGAACAACATCACCACGGGACTTGAAAACTGTTGCTATTAAATCACACTGATACTTAAAACAATATTAGAAGAGTTCACCAATAATAGCTAGGAAGCATGAGTTTGGTAAGATGCATGGAGTAAAGAAACATAAAATACCCAAACCTTCGGATTGAAGGAGATCATATATGACATCCTGTAATCATCAATGAGTGTAAATTAACAGCACTGAGCCTTATAATATTTTGTGAAGATTCGTTGCAATTAGTCTCAAGTAGCGAGTCACCCTATATCCAGGAAAGCGTTGGATGGCCTTTTCTTTCTTTTGGAAGTCCTCTGAATACTACCTGATTCAAACCAATGATCTCACGCTTTCGAGTCAAGAACTAGTGTCACGGATCCATGATTGACAGCAGCTAACTGCCATAACTGATATCTAACTGCGATATGGCGCGGCTTATCCTCTACTTTCATACATAATATGAAGGTGCAGAGCACAAGCGTGGCCCCCAAAACCACGAATTCCTTTGCAAGCCTTCACCATTCAGCTTGGCAAGTAAGCTGTTTGGGTTACTACCGACTGCTAATAAATAGTAAATACCGGTCATGGAGGTCCGCTCCCGTTCTCCATGGACCAAAGACATAGAACGCTGGCTAGCAAAAGTAAAGTGATGGGTTCGAATGAGGCGGGATTCAACGGTTGCGCGCTACTGACGTGTCCCAAAATGTGGAAACAGCCTCCCAGCTATTTCTTGCATGTGTAGTGGCTACCTGAGTATAACTGCAACGAATCTTCCAAAATTACCCAAAAATCCCCATATTATGTACAAGCTATTTGGTGCAATGTTAACGTATTTCCTGTAAACTACAGCTTTTCTGCTATTAATTCAGAATCTTGGTTAAGCTGACAAGATAAATTAGTAATACCATAAAAACAGTTCCAAACTGATAATTAATTATATTGTCTCTAAATCTGGGTCCACTGCGGGCAGTATAATTAAGCTACACCTGCCATCAACAGCCCAACAGCAAACCGTTGGTATAAAACGTGATAAACATTGCTAACTTACTTGTGTGTTAACTTGCAGCCGGCTTCGCCATCCTTCCGAGAGACTGTTGACAACAAAACACAAATTAGCTCTAATGTCCTGGAAAGAAAACTGGTTTGAGATGCCCAACATGTGTCCATCTAACTGTTGCTCCAAATGTACAACGCGAGCTAAGGATTCTGTAGTATCCGGTATGACATAGACTCGAACGTTGAGATCCATATTTGGAGGTAGGCGTCCAGAAAATGAGACTAGGCGAAGCAATTTCATAAGCGGCTGGTATTGGGAATTCGTATAACCGTTTTCTGAAAAATGTGGAAGAACCTCCAGCTGCTTCAACAAGTTCGGTCTCAACGACTCGCCGATTAGGCAGTATATTTGAGGAGTTTGCTTGATCACTCGATCCACCGTAGAGTTGAAGTGCATCAAGATTCCACAATCCGATTTGAATGTTGTTAACTTCTTTGACTGAATGCCCATTGCAATTAGCTCCAAAAAATTTAGACATGGATAGCATGCGAAATCCAAGACATCTAAACACGGTCGCCATCATCAGTTTTACTTAATTGTATTAGACTTTCTCAAAGCCATTTACAGGTTTGAAAAACAAGGTGGCGTAAAACTGCGGGAGCTGCTGGTTTAAACGTCATAACTCTTCAACTCCAAAATTGTTCCCGCGACATAAAACCTCTATGGATGTTATGCATTCAGGTGTAACAAAAACCATAAGTTCACGGTAATAGTTTGACACAAATGAGGATTTTGCACACCATTATCTGGTCGTTAATTCCGTGGAATTGATTAGCATTAGCGCAACAGATGAGCAGGTAAATAACAATGTTTGGCACCTACCTTCCATTTATAATCACCGTGGCTGTTTTCATCTCCACGCTCTCTGTCTAGTGAAAGGTCATACGAGAAGCACGTAGTCTCCTTGTATTCATCCTTGTCATTGTCATACATGTGAGGTTTCCTTTCATTTTTAAAACTGGTATCCCATGTCATCAGTCGAATAACCGCTTGTCCACGATCGGTTGCTGCGCAGTGCGGAATACTTAATATGACCGCCTTCGTCAGCGAGACATTCGCAGGACCAAACTGTACTATCGGACTGAGGAGTGTCTGGGAATCTAAAAATTTGCACCAGTATAAGTAGGTAACAAAGACTGATTCATAAAAGAGGGATTTGTGTGAACATTTAGAACTAGCGGACACTTCCTGTTCTGTAGGGGATATAGTTCTACGTTTCATGTGTCTCATCCTCGAGCAATCAGTTTAGTTTGTGTGTTATTTTCTCCTACGATTAAAGTACACTGATATTACCGGTACTCTATCGCTGGTTCCATTTCATCAGTAAGTGAGCAAAAACAAATTAATTGTCAAGAACAGAGAAGAACAACTAAGCTCCCGCTGCATACATTAATGAACTAAATGCGCTTGAGTATGTTTCAAGAACATACTAGTTTACGGCTTGATAATCCGTCTGATAGTCTGATTAGCTATGCACAGAGATGCGTTTATTTTTAGATATAGGTACAAATCCAGTTACTTAACGTTGGTAGGCAAAAGGTGTTCATCGCTGGACAAAATCAATAATATCAATGCGCAACTTGTTTTTCACGCAACAACTGTAAGGTGGACAACAAACGCATTCTGTCGACTGTGCACCTTAACCATCTCGGTTAGCCGTGGAGCGCATGAATCACGGGTGTCATAAGTTGTTGGGTGTCAAAACGAAGCGATAGCTGTCACCGCTCATCAACACCCAACTGCGAAACGATCCGTAATAGAAGTGAGACAAACATGAAACATCAGCGAACACTTTGTTTGCCGGTAACAATTTTAGCCGTTTAAGACACGTTTCCGTAGCAACAAATGGATAGCCGAACTAGCCCACCGGGTAGTTCAAAGAAGTTGGCGATCTGCTCCAAATATATCATGCAGGCATTCTATGGTTTATGTGTTACGCTATAAAAGCCGCTTCTTTCACTTTTAAAATAACACTTTTTTTGATCTAATCTAGCTACCAGTCACTCTGGTCTTAGAAGGAAATCTGCAAACTGTAATAATTTTGTGAGAGAACATCATCACAATTCTACTTATCTAACATCGAATGTATAGCTAGTTGGAATTGGCTTTTGAGGAGATAACAGGCACTGTGGTTAACCGATGATTTTTGTTATACAACCAGGTAGGTAAAGCTGAACCGAAAGTAATTTGATTTCAACAGTAATAAAATGTTATGTTTCTGTCAATAATTTATCTTCATGAAATTGCTTTCTACCAACTTTCGTCTAAAATATTACCTAAAGTGTCGTGTCGGACAGCCGGTCTATGAAGAAAGGTATTACTACACTGTTTGTAAATAAATTTCTCTAACTTCTTCGGAAAGGTTTTGCCAAATTGGTATATTCCGCTAAGTACATTACAAGTGCATTGCAATTCCGGAATTAGTTCGCAGTATATTTTCTTTTCAGGCCTTTTGTTGATATAATACTTCCCCAAAGATTTAAAGGTATCAATTTGCTCCCACCAAGTTAACTTGCCGAAACACTATCATATCAATATACAAAACAGAAACATGTGTGTGTTTCTTTGCTTTGCAGTTTAAGAACTTTATATTGAATATTTTCGCATTTGTTTGGGATGTCCTTTAAGTCACAAGATTATGAGTGAAAATAAGGTTGATTGACAGACATGCATATTTTACTTTGCGTCATTTGAATTTAATTTTAACTCGGGTTTTTCTCATCGATTATGTAATGTTATTTTACAAATCCTGAAGAGATACTCACTTGGGCTCATGGAACCTACCGTGACTAGTATTCAGAAGAAGTAGGCTGATACAAATCAGTCCTTACGCTTAAAGTAATGTCCCGTCAAACCTTCGAAGTAGATGCACTACTAGTGTAATTTTGCAACAGACATGTGAACTACCATTTACTTACCAGTAAGACGTGGTCGTTGCCCATTATCTCGACACAATCCCAAGCAGATTTGCTTTCCAGTGTTAGGAGGTATGGACCCATGTGATACATATAGCGAAGTTCCTAGAGAATTCAAATAGCAGAACGTGATCAACCACTTTAGCCGCTTCATTATTCAAGTGTTCATGCTGCTGTCGCTTTCACCATCTGCCGAACTTCAGTAGTTGTGACTACTAACCACTAAACAACAGGTATTGAAATACATTTGTGTTTCATAAAAAATGATTAAATAATATTTAAGCTACAGCGATATCCGCTCAAATAGCCGTGCGCAATAAGGTTATTTATTCCAATGAACCTTAAGAAAAGTACAAATGCGCAATGTTAAAATTCAGATGCGGAACGTATTATAATAGCTTTCACACAATAAGTTTCTCGAAGTAGCTTCCATCTTTATTGCTATCTGGAAAACTGTATCAATTCTTCACCACACGGCACGCGAAGATTAAAGGTGGAGCCATCCGCTTCAGGTTTGGTGCCAAAGCGTGTACCGATTTTCAAATGTGCTACATGTTGCTCCAGTTTTAACAAATGCACCTCCTAAACAGGTGAAATAAAAAATAGGCGAGTGAGGCATAACCCACTACAGATCACATAGCGAAGGAAAATATGCAAGCGGCATTCTCTTCAAACCAGGGGCAGAAACCGTCCATAAGCGAAGAAAAGTGTTCTTTTCCATCTAACCAATTCGTGTTGCTCATGGATGTCAAGTTTCAACATAACAGGAAACATACGGGATTTGGCTGTTGACCCGATATAGAGTGCACTACCAAATAACCACTATTCTTCAGTTTCCTAAATATAGAACTGAAAGGCATAATGACTTTAGTGTATCACGTGGAGAAGCGGCTGAAGTCACGCTGTAGTACACAGCAGTTGTCTGGGAGAAATAATTATTCTCTAATCAAAGCACCAAGCGACCGGAAAACTTTGATTTCCAACCTTTCGAAATGCATTGCTAATTACTTGCAAATATGCGTTAAACATTGGAACGTAGATGCAAAGCAGCAAACTGGTGTTTTAAATGAAGGAGACTATTGCAATGACCAATTTATTGTGCATGGTACATTATTCTAAGCACTATCCGCCTCAAAGTCGTCATATTTTTCTGGTAATAAACCGTTCCCAATTGCGCTTTTATTTTTCGAAGTCCTTCTGGAAAGCACGTTCTGGGATGGCGCGCAGATATCTTGTGCCATCGCCCAGAAGCTCCTTTAGACTTTAAAAACGACGTATTTTCACTATGTTTTTAGCTTTTGGAAACAGAAGAAAAGTTGGTGGGGCTGTGTCCGGAGAATATAGTAAAAGTATCACGAAGCGAGTTTGCTATTTTGCTTGATCGCTAAGGAAAATAAGCGGTGCGTTAACTAGAATTTCGTCGTGAGAAAACGTCCAAATTTAGTTTTATCACAGTTTAGGCTTCTTCCTTTGCATAGAATCCCTTAAATGCGCTGATATTCCCTGGTAGGATTATTCTTTTAACATCTGACCAAGTGGTATGAATTCCTGATGACCAATGACCTTTCATTCAAAAGCACATCCATCAATAACTTGATACTTGACCAACGCACGCTTGCTAATTTTGGCCAAGGAAACCCCTTCCGTGTCAAGTACAATTAATACAGTCCACCTTTGTGTTTGACTAAGCAAGTGCCATCTCTCTACATGTTCGGCAAAGTTAGTAACACAGTTTTACTCTCACACACATGTAATTCTTCAAGCAAAGTTATTGTTACGTTAGCACTAATCCGACGGAGAACTTGTGCACTTGCTCTCTTTAGTGGTTTTAGCTCGCCAAAAAGTTTAGAGCGAGGCGTGTTCAGTGCACGCAGCGCACTCCTGCTGTCATTTAGCAGGCTAGTTAACAAGTACATTTTCTTTTTGAAAACATCGGTATTCCAAGTGTTTCACTACTTCACTACTTTTCATCTGAAACGACAAACATTACTAATTTATTTAGAATACATAGAGCAGTTGAAAAGCAACCACGTAAGAACCTTGCATACCCGCACTTAGAGGAAATTTCTAAGTGTAATCATTGCGTAGACACGCACCATACGTTCGTCGACTAATGTACAAACATCAACACAATGAGATGTTTACCTCATAAACGACAAGCTCATAACAGCCAAATGATAGTGGCTGTTTTGCAAAGATTATTCAGAGGAACCACGACGGATTTTTTGGGACATTCAATCAGATGGCGCATCAGGAAGAAATCATGAGCGGGAAGGTTTTCGGTTGATAGGGAAAAAAGAAGGCGTACGTCGCCGGCACGAAAAACCGGTCAGCTACAGTGCGGTGAAATAGTGGCAAATCATTATTCTGAAGATAAATCTCATAAATTATAGTTGGCTCCTAACAGTGCATGCAGGTGACATGTGTTATGAATGTAAATCTGGAAACTGGAGTTTTGCTTCTTATTTCATGGTTTGTAATGTTGGAACTGAACTTCATATAACCAGTTAATCCGATGTAATTCAAGATAGCAGAGTAATGAATATATACGGTTTGACTAATGCATTTGTGGTTTAGGATCGGAAAGCACATGTTTGATTATTGGTGCAGAAGGATTCTATGCACATGTTCAACATACAAAATGTCTGTTTTGCTAAAAAGTGTGAAAAGTAGTGGCTTCCATTGGTGCTCGATAAGCAAAGCTATTTTAATATAAAGATTACGTGAAATTATGTGATGTAGTTGTCAACGGCCGATTTCTTGCTGACCTCAGTCAGAATCCATTTTATTTGACGCCATTATCCCCGAAATGCAGATTCCCAGTTTACAGCAGTAATGCTGTCGTATAAGCTGACAACCTGCTATCCTTTTCTCATCTATTTTGAAATGTTAGCTCTAACAATGCTCAAAACCAAAATTTTCCATCCCTTATTTTAGCCTACGTTTGCAGCCTCAGTATACGTGATAAATTTAAATTGTTTTTACATGACGATTTTATAGCGTCAAATTTTCGCATAAATAATACACGTAAACACTTCATCAAATGAATCTTCAACATAGTGCAAAAGACTGTTACGGGTGCTTTCGTATGTATGCAGAAGACTTAGTAACCACACTGACTGCATGTTCTTACCTAGTAATTGCCTATTTGGGTCCAAAAGTATTTCGTGTGTCATATCAGGATCATTGGTACCGAACAAGTAATGTGAACGCCTTCAAGTGTAAATAATGATAATCTATGAGTGTGTATTTCTGAAGGTGAAGGTTTCTAGGTATATAAACCTACCTTTCTGGAACGAGGAACACCTGGGATTGTTCCCTAATTTTGCAGATCTCGTTAGTTATTTCAGCCGCGTTTCTTGCACCAATTTTCATTCCTCGACGAGGTTTAGAATTTTCAGCATTTGAAATATTGCGATTAAAGTGAATTAAATGGCGAAATAGCATAGCAGTCATTGGGACGCAGTGACTGTGCGTATCTAACACTACAGTTTTATCGATGACTTCCCATTGGGTCATTCACAGCGCCCTAAGTTTATTGTTCCAAGAGTATAACGGTAATCATCGCTGTGCTTAGGTAGCTCAGTTGTCCACACTCACCTACATTGTGAACATAATCAACCATGTGAAATCCTTGCGCACATACGCCTCAGGGTATCAAGTAATACATAAAGTACTATCCTAGACAAACGCGCTAATGCACTGAAAATAAGTTAAAACAAATCAATAATCCCAGGGGCAGTCTCACACTCAACTATGCAACTAAAATTTCTGCAGCAGAGAAATGCAAGCCTATCAGTCTCACACAGATTGGTGGCTCCGACTGAGTCCTTTGCAGTGTCAGATCGCTTCGTGCTACTAACTCACCTGGAACAGATGTGCTCCGTTAATGACACTCCGGGGTAAGTAACCGAATTGGTAGTATGAGACTGGTAGATATTTTGTAAGCGTTTAATTCCAGGGCAGTCATGTCCTGTGTATGACGTATATTTACTTTACAAATGTAAAAGCGCACATCCGCGCTGTAAAATCCATAGGCAAACTTCAGCCATGCACCACGCGTATACATCAGCAAACGTGTTACCATTAACACATTGGCAGGGCCGAGGTTATCCGTAATGAAAAAGCACATCCACTCAACTGGATCACAGCGAGTGGATAAAAAATAGGCGGCATGCGAGTTAGGTTGTTACGTGTGAAACAGGATTATTTAATTTACAGTGAATAGATAGCTTAACGCTATAGTGAATCAAGACTTGGTCAGGTACAAAAATCAATCCTACGCAGGTTGACGTAGTCCGTACAAATGCCGTTGTTAATTATTTTCTTTTGAATGCATATTGCAGATACCTAGAACTTGGGGATACCATCTGCTTTGTTTTACCGGTAATTCTATCGTCATATTGTGAGGCAAAGTTTTTCTTTTAACTATTATCTCAAAAGGGGAGTCCAACAATTACAAAAGAATTAGGCTCAATAAGGATAATTGTCAAGATAACTTTGTTAAGCAAGAAATTTTCTACCAGGAAACTAACCAAATTTTCTCAACACCTAAAACAGTTACGTAATAGTGAGACCTGATAACGTGTGAAATGTGCCAAGGTATTCCAGCACGCTTGATTCCCCATTCAACTCCCACGTTAGCTCCGTAAGGCTCTATTTCTCAATGGTTGAATACCGCACTGCCCAAACGAGAAAATGCAACTTGTTTCAACTATGTACGAATCGTATTGCTTATAAAAATTCAGGCCCAGGAATTATGCTTTGGCAACTTGTTCTCCCCAATGTTGCTAGCTGCTTCCCGATATACCCGTAAATGAATTGCGCACCAACTCGGTTCATCGAATATAGGCACACCTCTAGGTTGTCCCAGCACAATCATAAAGTTACGTGATGTCAGTCTTTTGTGCTACCGGTAGGAATAATACACAAATGTCAGCTAACGGTGTTCAGGCCCGCACTGACGCATGCTAATATTCGCGGAGGACATGTAGTAACATGCGCTACAAAGCGTATAAATTCTACCGCGTCTGTGCTGAGAGTCTTTGCATTCTGTACAAATATGCACAAACCATTTCACCATTGACAGTGGCATGGACGACCGGTGTCATGTAAAATGTATCAGAGCGACATACAGATTTAGCGACTACCTGTTTACCGTATGGAAGTTAAATAAAAGCACGCAAAAACAACTAAACCGATTTTTGCGCGTAACTGACGTTATTCTTTTCAGTAACTTTACTGTATTCAATCAGACTACAACGTTTCAAAATCCAGTGCATACCTGTATTCCGTATTTGCAATAATCCTCTTTGTTCAGATAAGGTTTTTGTTGTAACGTAACACAGTTCTTGTAACTCCGCTCTGGGGGCTAAATTTGGAGAGCTGCACTGATAAGCGGAAGATGACTCTACGGAACGCGACTCCTTTGTTCCTGATTCAAAGTCCGTCTCCACTTCCTCTTTAGAAGTATAGGGATTTCTCGGATTTGCAGTGGTATTGGAGTGCACAACAGGAGAGCAGTTACTGCTCCCCGCGTTCCCCGACCCGACAGCTGTGGTGTTGGTAGTGGTATTCGCCGAAGACTGACCTTCAGATAAATATGGAAACCTGGGACACACGGGGGTATTCATGTACTCTGCCGCTGCAGGATCATTTAGGTGACATTGGAAAATTGCATAGAACTAAAGAAACACAAAATTGTGCTAAGGAGTTGAAATGTCCCCGTTGGATGTGAGCTGATCTAGTGAACTCCATTCGAAAGTCATGAAAATTAAACGTATCACTTATGCTTCTTTCTTTCTTATGGTCAAATACATATTAGACAACGCCTGAGTTACATACCATTCGGGTAAGACAGACAGTAATGTCAATTACTACTAAAAATGGCGAAAGTTTGTAGCAATCCAGTTTCCGAAAAACATCAGTTGATTTTCTAACAGTATAGTTTTTAAACGAGCAACGCAGATACTGGATAAGCTTTTTATCGCATGGACGGCTATAAATGTTCATTGTGTTCACAATTTTATAGGCTCGAGTATGTTAAATCCAGACAAAGTTTCTAATATTTGCCACCAGCAGAGCAGCCTGTCATATCCTACATTGCAAACAAATTTGGCTAGATTAACTTCAAATATTATTATTAAAACAGTCGCCTGTACCTTGTACAAATTGGTTTTAAATCCGATTTGTTTCAATATGTAAAATAGTGATATAATTAAACAACACATTAGGAATTCAGCCAGCGTCACCTTATGTATTTCTTTGTTGGCAGCTCAACTTACATTAGAGTTGGGTAGGTTGCTCTTGATATCAGAATGTCGCCGTCGGTTGAGTTGACGTTTTGTTGTACACAAGAACCTATCTCATTTTGTGACACGGTTCCTGTCGTATGGATGTTAGATACAAAGTATGGTAGCGAAGCAATCAATGTATCTGCAGGAGGATTCATAGCACCGACACGAACCAGACTGGTAGGTGCAGGAGAGTAGGAATTCATAGGAAATTCCGTTGTACCAGAGGGCCCAAAGTATGTTGCAGCTGGAACTAGAGGAAAAGCTTGAATTACAGGAAACGGCTGTGATTGTTGGTTTTCCTTCATTGGGTTATAGCGACCAGGTAGATTTTACCCTTTTGCGTGAGGTGAGAATTTGCTAATCCTTCCTAAAATATACGGTTTGCTTCGAATCCGCTCGGAACTTTTATGGTAGTCGTAGATTGCTTGAAATCGTTCATCAGTAGTGGATCTGTTCACCAGGAAAAATGGAGCGCAAAAACACACTTCAAGCTTGTTCGGGCATTACAGTTGTCCATAACTGTGAGAAAAGCAACTTCAGCTACAAATACACGCCCTGGTGTCCTGAAGCTGATTTTCTCTAAGTCTGCAAATTTATCCTTGCGCGCAACTGCCAGCCTATTCCTCTAACATACTCTGTAACATCCACAGGAATTGATAACTAGTTAAATAGTTGAAGCATGAGGCGATTGCATTGTTTTACACCCTTGCTAAATGGCAAATTTACGGTCTGCACTTGAGCATCGTTAGAGGTAAGAAGCACAATGGTTCCCAAGCATACAGAATAATGAGACAAAGCAAATATCGGTGCGCACACCGTCGGAATCCCATACATCGGGTTAAGATAAGCCGATTGTAAAGCGCGTAAACAATGTAAACAATTCGTGGATGGTAAATGATTCATGTGTCAGCAGCTGCAGTTAGATGCCTTCCTCCTTGCACTTGCGATTAATGAGTAAAGTAACGCAACTAAGAACAGAATACTCGACAAAAATAGTAGAGAATAGGAGAAACACTAGCAACATGTAACTGTATATGCTGCACATTATATGCCTACCACTTTTGCAGCCAAATCAAATATATCCATAAAAATTCCGGACTATGGCATAGAAATTACATCTTTATATATAAGCTCTAACGGACACATTGCATACAAATCTATACAGCTAGAGTTTACGTTAATTACTAACATAGTTTTCTCAACTGTTCGATTAACTACTCTTTGGAAAATGTACTCTTAACTGGATTATACGTTATTCGTTAAGATGAATTTGTAATATATCGATGAACAGCTTATCTTTGAGATATGTTTCGCATTTTATCCTGGCTATTGGATACTGCGGAGATATAACCGGCAGAAGTCATCAAAGGTGAAACATTTAGGAGTTTTACCATAAATACATAACACAAATGTCTGCAGACTCCAGTGCTGTATGGCATTCGGGAAACAAATGTACATTTATATTTAGCAAACTTGTAGTGTGGAAAATATCGAACTGGAATCCGTGGCAAATAAATAAACTGGACGAAAATAATGGAAACATTTTAGCGCGAGTTTGTTGTTACCCAGGACATAGGTAAAAAATCGCGCTATTCAGAGTTCCTTAGTGGAGTACTCTTATTTACACGTTTATGTGTGAGCGGATTACTTTGTAGCAAACGTAAATACTAACCATCTGAATAAGATCAATCTATACCCTGGGTTGCCTCCTACCAGCTTCTGCTACGAAACTGTTTATCCCTAAGCGCTGAGTTGGGGTCACATTGAAATAATTTATGAAGGTGTGGAAGCCGTGGCAGAAACAGGACCTCGTTGTCCTCGAAACTCCTTAACAAAGAGCAAACAAGAATGTTAGTGGCCTCTTTCATCTGTCCTATAGGCGTGGACTGATGTATCTAATAATTTACAACATTCAAATGTTTTGTTTGTATGGATCTCATAATGATGTACAGGAGTCTGAAGAACCCAAACCACATTTGCCACCCTCTGCTGAGTCTGAACCACAATACAAACTTAAGAGATCCTCCGCCGTAACGGAAAATGCAGTAAAGCCAGCTGGAATACCGTGGAAAAACGGAAAAGGCAGTACATCCAGGTAGAATGCCGTAGAAACTTCCGCTCTCTCCGTGTGTGTCAGCCTTGGAATGCTCACCCTAATTTTAATCTTTGTCCCAAACTAGCGGTAGTTAATACGTTGACTCATTTACACTTTAATTTATAACTTGTGAGCCAGGGGCTACAAAACACAAGTAACCATTGTATTACCAAATTGCCAAGCAATGGATTTCATGGATTAAAATTTTTATACACGAACAGGTCCGCCGTTATAAAAAGTCTATGGTGAGTCACCATAACGCCTGTAACTCTATCACAAATTTTCCTTCCCAATAAGTTCCATACAAGGGGACAATTTAAGCATTGCTTTTATATCTGTACCACAATGTTGATACCATGTAATCGTCCAGGTTAACAAGCACAGCATTAACGGTGCAATGAATTAGTTATTCCGCAGTGTTGGCTTTAGAGTAATTGGTACGCGTTTTATAATAGACTGGAGTTGTATCCTCAAAACTCACCCTTGGAGACCAAAGCATTTTTCTCCAATGGAATAGAATCATGTCCTAAAATAAAAAACAATCCATAAATACAATCGTTTGACTTGATTTCTTATAAGATACACTAAATTTCGCATTTATGGTCCTAGTTAGTAAACACTCATACAAATCTCGACAACTAACTACTTTAATGTTGTTTAAACAGGTACAGTATAATGACTACAGTCAATTCTGCCTTTCCCCTAATGGTTAACGTTATATATCTGTCATAATTTGGTATAGACCTTCAACAATAGAGTCACAACAGGTTAGGTATCTAACCAGAAATACAAATAGCCAGAAAAAATAAGTGAGTTGCTAGCACCCTCTCCCTATTTCATTCCTGAATTTGGTTAATTACACTACTCACAAACATCCAAAATTAATCTACCATTGCCCATTGGACATCCGAAGGACAGGTACTTCATTCCATTGGGAAGTGACGGGTGAATGAGCCAATCTGCAACACCAAGGCAGGTACTGTGAGCTCATTGGCAATACGTTGCACACCCAGCAGAAAGCATGTATTAAAATTTGCGCACCTGATCGTCAGCCCTCGGTAGATCAGTGGTAGAGCAGCGGACCGGAAATTCGTGTACCGGGGTTCGATTCCCCGTCGAGGCACATTATTGAGCGTGAATTTTAATCATGACTTCCCCTTTCTATAATATACATGTGTTGCTGGATCTTATGCTCACCAAAGAGGGGCATCTCATGTATGTACTGGTCGTAGAATTCCCTTTAGGACGCATTGGTCATGTACGCGTCAGCTTTGACTTCATCTGCTATGAGGAATACAGCAACCAGAACCCTTAGTTGGTGCGCACCATTAAGCGCTACGACCGCTTAGCCCAACTCGTCAGTGGCACGACCTGATCGTTCCTCGCTGAAGGCCATCCTGAAGTCGCTTGGTTTGAGTTCGCCAGACGATTCAATAAACTGGTTATAGACACCTCAATAAGGGTTTCAATTGGATCAAAACCGTTTACTTCATGAAGCGCAGAACTTGAAAATGGTTGGGTATATACAACACAGCCTAGTGAAAGCACAGATGCTCACCAATGCCAAATGATTGCGACAATACTTAGTACATCGTAAAACTGCACACAACTGCTTAGAGATGACAAGGTAGCAAATTAGCAGATTATGGCGAAAAGGTTCAGCGCTAACAAAAAACTAATGTACAAGTATGTCAACGACCGTCGTGAGTTGAGGCAGGGAATTCCTCCGCTCCGGAGGACTGAGGATTCAGTTAGAAGAGCCATAGAAGCAGCAAGCGCGTTGAGGACGGAATATGCTCCCAGACATCAGAGATGTTACCGTCAGGTCATTTGTCAACTTTTGTTTTTCTGCCTCCAAGATTAACCCACTATTTTAGGGCCGAAGCTGTTTTGCGGAAGCTGACTTCTCTGGGCAAACACAGCTCCGGGGTGTCGGCACCATCCGCCCAGATGCACTAGGAGCAGCAGCAGGACAACTGGAAAAATCCTCGGTACAGTTGTTCCAAGCTGCTTAGACCAGTATTAAATTACTGCGCTGTGGAAACTTGAAATAAAACTCGGATTCGCAAAGGCGGAAGCGGGACTGAGCACTCAAACTACTGTCCAGTGTCCCTTCTCCTGTATTATTCAAGGTAATAGAATCCAACGTCGCAGATGCGTTTGTGTGTTATCTTGTAAAGTAAAGTATTATTACTCCAGAGTAACACGGCTTTCGTCGACAGCCACCATGTACGAGGATTTTATTAATTGCAAGGAGTAATTCGACCGATTCAGCTGCGGCTGGTGAGGTCGTTGATGTGATCTAATTGGATTTGTCGGAGGCGTTTGCTCGTTTTGATCATCGGATTTGCCTTTCCAAGCTCCAATATTACGGGATCGGGGACCCTCTTTTGAGCTAGGTAACAAATATCTCCTGCAACGGCAATCAGTGGTGAAAGTCAGGAGTACCATATCTTAACCCATGCAAGCCAAGTCTAGGGTGCCCAGGGCTCAATTCTAGATCCACGGTTGTTTCTGGTATTCATCAATGGCCGAGCACCAAAAATTGCTTCAAATTTCCTGCACTTTGTTTACCATATCGATACCTGCAACCTGATTCAGGTGGATGCCGATCAGAATTTGTTTCATTGTGACCTGGATTTATTACGTGAATAGCCAGACTGAAATCTTATAGTTCAACGTGGATAACTGCAAGGTACTCCTGATTACTTATTCTTACAAGCTAGGAACGCAAGTACTGTATCTAACAATCTTCGAACGCGAATTAGGCGTGCTAGTTCAGGATAAGTTGGGTTGTTCCAAGCAATCCGCAAAGACTACGAAAACTGGTAACTAGTACATCAGCTTGTTACGATAGTCATCCGAACAAATAACCCATATTTGCAGAAAAATACTGAATACGTATGTTCGCCCTCCATGTCGAATACGAAATCCAAGCCTGGCAGCAATTACTCAAGCACAACTTTACTGCACTGGAGGGACCTCAACGTCGGTCTTCTATATAAGTCGTTGGAATGCGCCATCATACGTAAGATCAGAGGCTAAAACGTTTGGGAGTATTTAGTGGGTGGTATCGCCATCTTCGATGCAACTTGCTTTTGCTATATTTCATTTTGCGCAAGCCAAGTCATGAGTGCCGCTTTCTACTGCAATTCAGCATTGAAACCACATCTAGTGTCCACTCCTTGACATAAGCCGAATATTACAACA